ACCTCACTGTGAGAAGGGTCACTATTTTAATGCCATTTTTTGAGATAAGAGCACTACAAGCAAGAGTTTTAAATATTCACAAGGTCACAAAGAGGATTTAAAAACATCTAAACTAAGTAAGAATTCTTTAATACTCAGTCCCCAGGACTTTTGCTTATTGAGTCTGGAATCTTCACATAATGAAGCAACACACTTCTCCTGGGGCTGTTGTTCTCATCCGCTAAGAACACGGAAGGTTACTTAAGTCATTTAAAATAAACTGGAGAATTTCTAAGGAAGTCATGAGCTTCTTTCAAAGGGCAAATGAATCCTGTTTATGCATAAATTATAAACATTAGAATGACTTGGTTTTCTTTCATATTTTAAACTTTTTTCAATCCAATAAACACCTTAAGTATGTCATTTTAATTATTCCTTCATTTTATACATTGTTTTTGTTAGAAATTTCATCTGTGGCTATATAAGTCTTTTCATTTAAAGAAATAATTTGAAAATACTCCATTACTGACTGTTAAAAACTCAGCCTACAGTGTAAATGAGACTTCCATAAGATGCTAAATTCCCAGTATAATTTCTAGAGATGCTTAACCGCACCTCACCTTAAAGACCGGGGTGAGGTGGTGGGACTTACATAACATTTCAATAAATGCTTAATGGATTTGGGCTGATACTAATCCTAAGATTCAGGAAGGTTTATTAACCTCTGTTTTGAGAAAATCTGTTTATTTTAGATGAATAATGCCTATAATTAATAACCTACAGAGTGTTTTCAATATTCTTTACAGGCTTTCCCAAGCACTAGTTGCAGGAGATATTAAAAGGTATTCTGGCTAGAAAGTGTTCCATGGTCCAGCAAGTTTTAGCAGAAGTGAATTAAAGCAACAGGTTTCTTTACTGAAGGACTTCACAGAGCTTTTATCATGCTAAGTATTTCCTTATTAGAGTTCTTTGTATTAGGAATATGCAGCATGTCTAAACTAACTTAACTTTAGAGCCACTGTCTCAAATATTTCATACCTTGAGTTCCTCAGAAAGCACTCTGGGAAAAGCTTTGACTTAATGGATCAGATTTTAAAAAAGGGTTCACACTTCAGAGTCAAATCATCCTCTCCTGTAATGTGTTTAAAACCAATTATGTTCAACTCACTTTTAATAAGTGAATTTAAATTTTGTTCCAGAAACATATCCATATATAAAATGAGTAAATCTTGAATAAGTATTTTTCTTAAAGTCAAAAGACCTGAACAAACAGAACTGTGACTACCAGGTTTCAAATGTCTTGCTCACTTGACTGCTAACCAGAAGGCTGGTGGTTCAAACCCACCAGCCACTCCTCGGAAGGAAGGTTGGGCAATCTACTTCCGTAGTGATACCGTTTCGGAAACCCAAGGAGGGGTCGCTATGAGTAGGGGCTGACTCAACGGGACATAACAACAACAGCAACTTCTTTTCACCACCAGCTTGGCTGTCCTCGACAGGATCAACTTGCTGTGGGCAACGAGTAGCTCCAGTAGATTGATAGATCCAAAGGACAGACCACTCTGCTGGCTTATCCCTCTTCTTCTCTCTGCTAATTGTGCACACAGTTTTCCCCCCTTGTCTAAACCTAGGCTATTCACAACTCAGTTATTCCACTCTTAGCATTCTCTTTCTTGCACAGATATATATATACATCCTCCTTAAAAATTTTTCCCTTTACGCTTTTGCTCAGTTGTTTCTAGAAAGCTTTTATTCTTTCTCTAGCTTCTGAAACCTGAACTGAATCTTAAAACATGTCCCCAAAATATACAAACACTACTGATTACACAGCTATGAAGGAAATGGAAAGTCATCCATTTTGAGGTTAAATAAAAAAAGACAGATGAGCCAGTGCCATCAAGCACAGAGCCACCTTTGTAGTGCTCAAAGACCCTTGGAGAAACTCAAATGTCTACTTTCTTCCAGTTAAAACTACTTTTTATTGTTAAGAAATATTTGTTAGTACTGTTTTATACTTTTTAAATTCTATCTGCATACCATATTAGCTACACTATAAAATAAATGAGTTTTTATTTACTTCCCAAGGAATCTATAAAGATGTATATTATTTTATCCATAAGAAAATAAGAGTCCCAACTAATCTGCTAGTAAACATTTAGAGCATAACACATTTAAAAGTGTGAGAATGTAACGAATTGGCAAATTTTCCTTAACTTTCTACTTTCCTATCATACTACTTTCTGGACGGAAAGGATAAACTGCACCTTTCTTCTCATCCTCATCTTCCCACAAAAACTTCCCCACAAAAACTGGATGGATTAAATATACGTCAACTGGAAATTGTATTCACTATAGTATTATATATTGTCTTTAGCTTTTAACTGTAAATTGCATCAGGACTACCATTTATTTGTTGATATAGTAAGTTAGTATGTAAAGAGCCACCAAATACTCAAATAAAGATTTAACACTTTATTACAAAAGAAAGGTTAATAAATAATCAACATCAGAAAGTCTCCTTGCAGAACCACACACATGCTCTATCTAGATTTGTTTTCTTGTCAAAAGGCTTGGACGATGACTGCCATGCCTCCCACGATTACAGATGGGGAACAACATGGGAAAAGCAGTTTGCTTTAGGTATGTTTTTACTATGTCATATAGGTTAGAAAATTTTATCTGCAAAAGGAACTAGTAAAATCAATCGTTCATTTCCAAGTATTTAAAGCTGTGATAGTCTTCAGGGGGCCAATTCCCTCGTAGCACTGGGGACTGACAATATAGTGATCATTCTGAAATATCGGGTAGGATACCCCCCACCCCCTTACCACCAAACCAAGGCAAGACAGAACAAAGGAGAGAACAAACAGAAAGCAGTTTCAAGTTTTATAGTTTTACTTTATATGCAATGCCTGACTTAACTACAAAACAATTTTATAAGTTGAACAGTGACTATTTGGTCACCATTTCAAAAAAATGAGACTGGTGTGACTCATTAATTAATAAAATTTACCATACATGGATGCTGGAGTGATTGGCATGTATTCAGGAAAATATTTATCCTTTCTTTTTCTGTATATATAATTACTTTATAATTCCATAAGAAGTATTTTAAAAAATACAAGGTTATTGATTATCTAAATTATAATGTTCAAGTTAAACCAAAGTAGCTGTTAACTCATATATGTAAATGATTCTGATGAACACAGAAACAAATGTTAAACCCCAGGCTGTCTGGGGAGTCAAAATACTTAACAAAATAAACCAACCTGAATTACTGAGTTTCTTTTCTAAGTAAAAAAATCTGTATTACTTAAAAGAGAATGTTTATTAATCAGATATAATTTGATATTTTAGTCAAGAGGTATGCTAATGTTTTATCTACTGAGAAACTGATCAGTTTCTTGAGCACTACCTCTTAAAGTATATAAACAAACTAAAAATAAAGTTAGGCCTCTTATACAATGTGTAATTTCTTCATTATGATGGAATGCAACAAAATATCTTGCCCTTGGGTTGCTCAGTTTCAGCCAAAACAAATGCAAATGGCTTGTCAGATGACAGCTGTTTGATAAGGCTCCTCTATAAGACCTGCATGCTTTACTTTTTTCCGTGAAACTTGGGATGAAAGGCAGAAGGCAGGAAGAGAATTAATGTAGCATACAGTCTAAAGGCAATGCTACAACCGTGATTAAGTAGAAAAGTTAAAAGGCACAGATTTTCCACAGCTTCGCTGCGTGCAACCCATCCGTGTAACAAGTTGACAGGCCTAGCGCGTCAGCTCCATCATCCTCTCCGACAGCTAAAACGCAGCACTGCATCCCTTTTCAGAGAAAATTTGCGTCTGCACCATGAAGCGTTGTACATTATTTCTTAGCACTGCAGGGGGCTCAAGTCCATATGGAACCTTCACAAATATTACCACAGATCAAACCAGCAGCGTTTGGAGGCAGATTTGACATACCTATTTAAATGAACAGCAGGGGTCCTCGGGCAGCCTCAGGCTGTGCAGGAGAAAACCTCTGTGGAAAGCCTGAGCTGCAGCTCCATTACTCAGCAAAGACACACTCTACATTTATCATTCATTTCATTTCTGCCAGGGCAAGAAGCTCATTTGCCCAAGGTCAACAAAAAGCAAAAAAAAAAAAGGTTTTCTTTTTTTTCCCCAAGAAATAAATGTACCTGACAAGTGGGGATTTTGTCCTTTGGGTGTGTGGAGCACAAATAAACACCAGATAATTCTAAAAAGCAGAGTAAATGTTTGCACAGAATTTAAACAACCAAAATCTGACTGTGGATCAGGGGAAGAATGATAAATATTTCTGTAATGTTTACGAATTATACAAAGAATGAAATAAACTTGACATCATGGTCTAAAAATAAAATGGTTTCTGTCATTTATAACAGATATTAGCATCAGCCTTTTCCCCAAAAAATTAATTCTGCAGGATGCTCCCAAATCTGGACACTATTAAACACTTACAGTTCTGAAAACAAAACAAAAACCGTTCATAGTATAGTCAAATGCAGTTGGAGGTCAAAGTGCAACAAAATCGTTTCTTAGAGTCCAAATTCTAGACATACACACTGCATTAACCTATGAAGAACAAAAATTGTATATAAATAACAGAAATAAAGTATAGATAACTACATGATTGTCTTTCAAGGTAAATGCCTTATAGCATCTGAGAACATTTATACCCTGTCGCCTATCCTGACTTATTTTTTACCTTGAAACACATATATATATATATATGCCCTTTTATTGAACATATACCTCCTAACATGATTTTAATTTGTAAGCAAAAGCATTTTAAGGACAAACCATTGTGACAGAAACTCTACAGATTATTTTTAGCAAAAATAAATCAAATATAAGGACTTTCAAAATACCATCTTACCTTTTAGAAGTTTTATTTTTATACATTACAAAAATTCTGAAGTTTCTGAGAATAATCTGTGGTATAGTTAGTTACTTAGCTTTTAGTGAATATTATTTATCATGAATGTAATATACTTACATGCATTAATGAATAATATGATTGTTTGCCAGTATAAAAGAGAAAATGAAATGGACGGCCATCCTCTCCCCACTGGATTGCTAATAAAAAGCCAAATGCAAACAAGTAAATAAAAATAAAATATACATATATAGACCAAATACATTTGATTACAGTTATAAGCCACATTTACAATTCTAATTAACTTTTCAAATAACAGAAAATATCATTAATACTTATAATTTTAATATTTAGTTTAAATATTTAACTTATATTTAATGTTTTATACCCATGAACATAAAATAACCTTTATATTTAACAAAATATTCCCAAATATTTGATAATGAAAATTCCAGCAATTTATTTTAAATAAAGGCAAATGATAATAACCATTTTTTTTTCTTAAGAAAAAAATTATGTTCAGCTGTAAATACAATACACTCACATATTAGTAACAGGCATTAATATAACAAAGAAATTAAAAACCATGCTTTTTCATGCTGCATCATCTGTCTCAACCCTGTGGTGAGATACCTCCCAAAGGCTTCAGATCATCCTGCCTAAAACAGAAGGGGTACCCCAAAAGTGTGAAGGGTAATTACTTTTGAAATACAGATGCGCATTCATATCTAATAACTACCAAATAGCTAGAAAAATGGAGTTACTATAGTAAATAAAGCAAATATTCTTTACTCATATTAAGTTGTTTTGCTGTTAACTATTTTTTAGAAACTCTTGTATATTAAAGATAATATTCCTTTGTCCATTAAATAAATAGTAAAATATTTTCTCCCAGTCTGTCACCAGTATTTCAATCTCATTTATGGTGTCTTTCATCATCAAGAAGCTTAAAACATTTATATTACAAATATTTATGTAGTCAAATCTGTCACTATTCTTCTATGGAAGTGTTTCTGAACTTTTTTTTTTTTTTAATTGTCCCTACTAAGGATTCTTTTCAGGCCTTTTTTTTTTCCCCCTCCCTAAACGTTTCCCACTCATACCACTGCCCAATGAAATTTTAATACCACAGATATACTGGATATGTTGCTGTACTATGGTCCTCTAAAAACAACAAATCATTGTAATATGTAAGATTTTGTTACCCTCCATGAACCAGTCTTCACTCCCTTGGAGACAATGTCACCCCTTTGAGAATGCATGCTCTAAGATTTCTGGGCTTTCAAAAATGATTTCCTTCTGTAATTTTGATATGTTTTTATATTCAGATAGTTTCTCTATCTGGAATTTACTTTTGTGAGGCACAGATCTAAGTAATATTTTGTCCAGCAAAGAGTCATTATCATTACCCCTTACAGTTTTTTTAAATACTACACTCTTTTCCTACTGAAATACCACCTGTATCCTATATAGAATGCATTTCTTCTCTGAAGATAATTAGCATTAGATGTAGACCACTTAAAGTGAATGCACTTAAAATAGATATGAAAATTTCATTAAAAATGGTGGAAAAAAGATTTGATTGAGAGTTTATCTTGAAAAATAAAACAAGATTCTTATTTCCCAATCACTTTATAGATGACTTAAGTAGTTCTCCAATGTCATTTTCACAGGTTTCATGAAGTCTTGTATTTTTTCCAATATTTGTAACATCAGCAATCAATTTTAATGTATTGCTAAGGTAGTCAATAAGGTAGTGACCAAGAAAGACAAACACGAAGGATGGAGCTAAGACTCTAAATGTAATGATCAGTTCATTAGTTAATATTTTTATGTTGTAACTACTCTTGCTTACTTTTGAAATTTCATATTGTGGGTACTAGAATAGGAATCTCCTGAGCTGTATCTTTTTATTTATTGCTATTTTAAATTGTAGTTTGGGTGAAAGTTTACAAAGCACACTAGTTTTCCATTCAACAATTTATACACATTTTGTTTTGTGACAAAGGTGGCAATTCTCCTTCAATGTAACAGCACTCTTCCTCCTCCTTGGGTTCCATTTCCATTTGTCCTTCTTTCTTGCCCCTCCCTGCTTTCTGAGCTTTGTTTTTTTGGCAAATGCTGCCTTTTTGGTCTTGGATGGTTGACTGTATTGAAAAGGACATTCTTCCCTGGTGTTATCATTCACTTTATAGTTCCTATAAATAGGAGCTCTGGTGGCACAGTGGTTAAAGCATTTAGATGCCAACTTACCAGCAACTCCATGAGGGAAAGATGAGGCAGTCTACCGCCATAAAGATTTACAGCCTTGGAAACCTTATGGGTCTACTCTATCCTACAGGGTTGCTATGAGTTATAATCAACTCCAAGGCAGTGGGTTTGGTTATGGTTTACTGTTTGGCTGAAAGTTAATCTTTGGGGGTGGGTTCAGTTCCAGATTTGAAGGGTATCTAAGGGCCATAGTCTCAGGGGTTCCATTAATTTCTATCAGACAAGTAAGTCTAGTCTTAGTCTATGCTTTTCAAATTTGTTCTACCTTTTTTTGCCCCCCTCTCTGTCTGGTCAGTAGTGGTAGTCAGGTACCGTCTAGTTCTTCTGGTCTCCAGGTAGTGCAGGCTATGGTTCGTGTGGTCCATTAGTCCTTTGGACTAATTGTTTCCTTGAGTCTTTGATATTCTCCACTCTTCTTTGCTCCCGGAAAAGACAGACCAACAGTTGCATCTTAGATGGCTGCTCGCAAGCTTTAAGACCCCAGATGCTTTTCGTTGATGTCAGATGTAGAACATTTTTTTGTGTGTGGACTATGTTACATCAATTGAGTGAGTTGTCCCCTAACACTGTGGTCCTAAGTCCTCCAAGTCCAGGGAGTCATGTCATTTTCTCAAATTTGTTATAGCTAAGAAGTTTGCAGAACTTAGCCTTCTGTGTTCTCTATAATACCTGAGCTGACACTGGACAATCTACTTCCATAGTTATACTGCCTTGGAAACCCAAGGAGGTAGCACAGTGCCTAAGGCATTTGACTACTAACCAGAAGGTTGGTGGTTCAAACCCACCAGCCACTCCATGGAAGCAAGACTGGGCAATCTACTTCTGTAAAGATTTACTGCCTCGGAAACCCAATGGGGGTCGCTATAAGTCAGAATCGACTTGATGGTAAGGAATTTGGTTTTTTGGTTTATTGTGTACTATAATTTCCATATCACAAAAAAGGAAGGAAAAAGCTGTCAAACTATGGTATTCATCATTATATCCACAACTGCCTGGGTCTAGATTGTGGATCTGTCACTTTCAACCTGTGTCTTTAATTCCCACATACATGAAATGGGGGAGAATAACAGAGACTAGTTACTAAAACTGTTGTGCAGACTGTGAATTAATACATGCAAAGCAAAGCCCATAGAACTGTGCCTCACCCACTCTAAGTTTCAATAAATGATCGCCATTGTTATTATCTAGGAGATTTTTAAATTTAACTAGAATAAAGTTACCTATAACAATCTTGTGTTTATAAAATATTTTCTGAATATTATTTAACACTCTTAATATTGTCCTCTTACATTTTCTCTCATTTTCCCTTAAGCAGACATATCAGCAGTTGATTGATTTAACTGGCTTTTCCAAAGAATTAGATATTTTATTTATTATCATATCTTTCTTTTACATCTCTCCACTCATTAATTCAGTTTTTTTTTTTTTTTATGGCTTCTTGAATTGAATTCTTAGTTCATCTATTTCACTCTTTAATTTTTAGTAAGTATCTATTTGTCTCTGCATAACACATCATCCATATCCCACAGGGATATGAATGGTTCTTATCATTTCACATATTTCTAAATAGTCAGCAATTTCAATTCTGATTTCCTTTTAACACAAGAATTACATTTTTCTATTGATTTTAAGTCAGAAAATTTAATCTATATGATTTCTGCTTTCCAGAATTTATTAGAAGTTATGATCTATCACATTTTTCTATTAATATTCTACTGGCATTTGAAAAGAAAATGTTTTCCTTGTATTCGTATCTGTATTTATAAGATCATGCTGTGTTATTCAAATTCACTCTAGCCTCAGTTAATAGATTTTTTTTTTTCAAAACAAAAATGTGTGGTGCAAAAAGGTCATCTAAATGGAGATTATCTATAGGTTTTACCTATAGAAATTAAATTCTTTGCCTCGTGTAACAACATCTTCCTTAATACTCCACTGCAGTTGAGTTCCTGCAGCTCCTAGTGACTCTACAGAACTGCCTCATAAGGGTTCAAAGGTTGTAAATATTTATAGAAGCAGATTGCCACCTCTTTCTTCCACAGCTGGTAGGTTCAAACTGCCAACCTTTCACTTAGCAGCTCCATGTTTTAATCACTGCACCCCCAAGGCTCCTTTCTTAATATTAAAAATCAAACCTGTTGCTATCGAGTGGATTCCAACTCACAGCATTCTGGGTTTTGTCATCTACTCAGTATATCTTTGTTTTTCTCTAATACTGACATCTCTTTACTTTAAACAATATACCAAACCAAACCAAACTCACTGCTGTCAAGTCATATCTGACTCATAGAAACCCTCCTTGGGTTCTGAGGCAGTATCATTACGGAAGTAGATAGCCCAATCTTCCTTCTGAGAAGTGGCTGGTGGGTTTGAACCACCAGGCTTCTAGTTAGCAGTCAAATGCCTTAGGCACTATGCTACCAGAGTAAAGAGCAGGATTTTATGTTTACATAATACACCAGTTTACATAATACAATCTGGAAGCCTTCATCTTTTAACTAGGGAACTGGTAACATGCTGCAATTGTACAATGTATGCAAATCAAAAGTTTAGATATTTTAAGATAAAAAAATAAGTTTGTCTTATATTTACAAAGTATAGCATAACTGGAAAGTTTGTAGGTAGGAGGCAAAAAATAGTTTGTTAACTCCAAGAATATGGTTTAAATACAGTTAAATGCAACCTACTGTCATTCTACCAACACTGACATGTTTACAAAATAACATAAGAACATTTTACCAGGGAGGTATTATAAGTTTCAGCTGTTACATTCCAGCTGGTAATAAGTTTCTTAAACTTAGAAATCAGTATATTTGAATGAAATAATTAGTATCAAAAAAAAAAAAAAAAAAAAACCACACACAAACTCACTGCTATTGAGTAGATTCAACTCATAGCAACCCCTCCATGGGTTTCTGAGGTGGTATCT